AGCAACACTTACACTTTAACACAATTCAGTTGTATATAGCATGTCCTTTCCATTAATTAAAATTCTACTCTAATTAACTTAGTCTTTTACAAATATGCCATGCACCGCACATAAACCATAAATTCACACTCAATATAAAGTTAATTAAAATCCTTCAACGACCAACTGAAGTCACATACTGCATATTAAAGGAAGAAACTCAGTTATGTGTCATCAACTAAATATACTCTTCCGAGCTTGTTACGTACTCTTACGTGTTAATAACACTAGAACTAAGAGCACAGAACGGGATGGGAACAATATCAGAAGTAAAATCATATTTTCCAACAAGTTTCACTCGCCATAAGCTTTCTGTGAAAGAGAAAACGAGCGCGGCACAGCGGAAAAAGAAGAAAACTTTATGAAAAACGAGTTAAGGCGACCGACTCGCCGGCGTGACACCACATGCTACACAATAACATAAATCGATAATAGGAAGCCCTCCGACTAGTTCAGCAGTGCGTGCGAGCGACCTAATACACCCACTACGGCGACCGCATGCAATGCGGGCTAAATATACAGGGACCCGCTGCGTTCCTACGTTGCAACGCGCCGAACGGAACTTATGTCGCAACGACAACGTCCACAATTGCTTGTACAGAGAAAATAACCGGCTTTACTAATGCATCAAGCGAATTGCGACTCTGTGGCACGTGTCTGTAGTTTTTTTTTAGATCGGAGTGGGTGCGGAAGAAGGACGTTTCGCAAGCTGGCCGCGGCAGTAATAACACAGCTAGGTGCATTCTGGCTGCAATTTCGCTCTCGGTCGGGCTGTATGTTTGTGGCGCGCTGAAGATCAGGGCTAACGATCGGCGTACATACATACTCCATCTCGGTCGCACCTATCGCGAATCACTGTGTCTCGCAAAAGAAACGCTACAACTTTATCTGACAGCGACGCGACGCCAAAGAGGCTTTTGTGCGTTTTCCATGTTTATGTTTATAGGAGAGCACGTACAAGGGGTGCTTTGAACGTCAGTTGCTTTCTGTTGCGTGGTTATAAATTCTGCAACGTTCTTGTTTTTATTTCAAAGCGTGTGTTTGCACCGAACGGTGCTATGCAGGCTTAGTTTTTTCGTGCTTTCTCATAAGATTTTACTATCGCGTTCTGGTGGGTCACACCCACCAGAACGCGACTGTGGGAAGAATAGCAAATCGGATAATGTATTTATTGTCACTGTATATCTTATTCAGATTGATGTAGTAATAACAACATTACCTCTTATTTTTATTTATTTATACAAATGTGACAAAGGCGGACTTAATGCCGTAGGCAATTTCTACCAGTCAACCTTAGGGTGTGATACAGAGATAAAACATGGTAGATGCACAGAAATTTAAAATGTGATTTTATGAAAAATATAGCATAATAGGATATGATACACCCAGAGTACTTATACTGATTACATTAGAATTATTATTACTTAATTACTAAGCGAATACATAGGTTAGGTAGAAGTCGTAAATATCTAAATTTAAAAAAATCTAAATGAATATATAAATGAGACTTATATTGGGTTCAAACCCACAACGGTTAAACACATATAATTTACGCACTATTCGCGCCGTCAAGATTTTTTATAATAACTTCATCTTTGTGCATGAAAGTTAGCAGGCAAGTTATTAATCCCAAAGTCTACTTATGTCAAAAACTCGTCAAGTTCACTTTCACATTATTCAGATAATGGTTTTGTTAGAGGCAAAGAACTTGCTCTCACATTTGTTTTTGAGCTGATTTTATAAATACGAAATACATGATGTAATGCAAAAGGTACTACAACGAATACCCCTAACTTATTATAACTAAAAGGTAGAAATTACTAGCAAATACAATGTATGCAGTGATTCGCAATCGAATCTCACGTACCCAATTTTGACTGTGTCAATGGCGTAATGGTTTTAGTATTCACCTTGTTACTTGATATCTTTTTGATTCCCACACATAACATTATATTTGTGTAACCCACAGACGATTGTTCAATATTTGTGCATATTTTGAAGTCTGTAAGTCCTTGCTCCGTAAATGGTCTAAAGAACGTAAACATTGTATGAAACTGTTCATTATTGTATTGAGAAAATAACGAGAGTTGGCGGGGCGGGTTCGATTTATACTCGTAAAAGAATATCTAAAAAGAAATGCAAATATTGTAAATAAGGTACTCCTTCTTGCCACGTATTAAAATGAATCATTGAAAGTCATTCACGATTGGCGATGACATCACAAATTTAGTCAAAAAGACAAACTTTCTGTTACAGATAATCGGGTTGATAAAATTATAAATAGTCGAAACTAAAATATAAAATACATTCTAAGCATCATTTTTTTTTAAAAGGTTTATTTTACTATGTATTCGCTTTAATACACTTTTAGTTTTTTTGTTTGTATGTAGAGCAAGGGTTCTTATACGTGTATACATTCAGCCTCATTTTGCTACATTCTTGATCCATCATAAGATAAATTGTGACGTTTTTCACAATCTATTAATAACAAAACACAAATTTACAGTACTACTATTACTCACAATCCTTCTTTTCCAAACTCTCTTTCATATGAGGATTTCCAAAGGAATCTTTCTTTTATTACAAAACTGTTATTAAATAAAGTTAGAATTATAAAAGGTTTCCATTGTATTGTGGTGATCAACTTTACCTTCATTAAAATTCCATGGCCAAGTATTATCATCCAAAAATAAGGTTCAAAACATGTGATCCTACTGCCACTTTAAGCAGCTTTTGGATAATACATTACATATATAGACACAACAGACCTATTACATAAAATAATATGGGTATATACTGCATCTCTGACTGTGTCTGTTTATTTACAAAGCTATTGTCTTCAGGGGATGGATTAGCGATACCGTATTTTGAAGGCTCTGGCCCTGCTCAGTTCATATCCATCGTATTTCAAATACTTTTTTCCCGATGAAGTCTTCTTCTACTCCTAAAATCTACGATGGTTACTCTTTACTGTAGCTCTTTAAAACGAATTTAACGACTATTTTTTATTATAATAAACTTTTATTTTTAAGCAATTTGTGATTTCACTAATATAGGTACTCTTTTTAAAAAAAAGTATAAATATTTTAATGGAATCAGATGTTATAATTACTTTTAAGAGATCTGCAAGGAACTTCTTCTTAACAAGAAGTATTCGAACAATATTGCTATAAAGTTGCTATGGAAATGTGTTACTTTTCCATAGCAACTATGAACTTGGTATTATAAAAGTAGTCAAACCGAGTTCCCAACTACAAACATTTCACATATTTTACGCAAAGCCCATTCCTTACGTTTTGTCGTCGAGCAAAAACATGGCCGCCCGTAATTACCCACATCTATTTTTATGAGTTTGTTGATGTGAAGAAATGTTGTACCTCCAGGAAATGTATGTAGAATTGCGTGTTTAATTCTGTGTATATTATAGAATGGTATATGTGTGTATGTATGAAGGATAGAGAACAATTTGAAAAAAGTTTGACATATACGACATTATGTTCAATTTCGGCAGAATATCTATGACAACATCCTGAATATTACATCATCATCTAAGACGAAAGACGTCCACTGCTGGACATCGGCCTCCCCAAGGCTCTCCTCAACAACTAGTCCTGTGCTGCCCGCATCCAACGGTTTCCCGCGACCTTCACCTTGTAGGGGGCCTACTAACGCTCCGTCTATCGGTACGTTATCGCTACTCCAGAACTTTTTGGCCCCATCGGCCGTCTTTTCTGCGAGCAATGTGCAGCATATTACATACGCTAAATATATCTAAGCCAATTAAAAACAATTCTAAAATATTCATATAATGTACATTAACAATGCTCTATAACCGTCGTTGTTACTAATATTGTTAAATCAGTAATCGAAAACAATTCTCGAAACTAATCGGTGACAAGATTTGTCGTAAAATTGCCATACCGTTTTCATACTTCCTCAAGTTGCCAGGTGTGTAAATTAACTTATAAGTATATATAACGAGCTTAATCTCTCAAAACGAAGTTTTTAGATCATGAAAGTATGTAACGATAAAAAATGATGAGTTAAAGAATCACAGAAATTCAAGAGCATATGATTTAAATAAACTTTTGACTAAATGTCATCAAATGTAGAAAAATCTTAAAAGCTATAATTCTATTCATTAAAGTCACTTTAATTAGATATTTAATGTTTTAGTTTAAAATAGCCTTAAGACTCATGAGCTCTATTTATGACAAAAACGGATTATGTTCTATAATTTATGATGCCATACATCATGTTTCCTATTTCCACATTAAGTTAAATACAAAGTTGCACATATGGCCCTCAGCCAAGAAGATATGAGAATCAGTTTATACTGAAATGGGTCGGAAGGGTTTTGTATATTTAGATTATGTGATATGATAAGGGCTCTACATGAAATATTCTAAAATATCGTTACTATCAAAATATATTTTTTTCATTTGAATTCAGATAAGGTATTCAATACATTCTTGTATTGTTATTTGTTTTTGTCAGTTTTCTGTATTATTTGCAACTTTGAACTAAGTTTAAAACATTTACAGTGACAGTTAAAAAATTAAATAATATATTAACTGTAATAATAATAATGATTTTTGATAAATTAATCCATGCCAGTATACTGGTAAGCTAGCACCTGTTTTTAAATAGCAAAGAAACGTTCTCTAAAGCAATTTTTACATCAAAAAAAGGAGCACACACATCTTTAAACTATGAAATAGTTTCTACGTAACTTAGATATATCCTTCCATGAATACTAATTTAGTCTGACTAGATGGCATCCGGCCCGATGTGTACGCCACGTCGGAATGCTTTCAATAGAAATTATTCAACACAAACTAGTTTTATTTGCAATTTTAAACAAATCCGTGGAGGATAGTCCAACTCTGGCGCATTTGGCGGACACATTACGGCACGATGGCGTAACAAAATGAGTACTATATTTACTTTCGGGCACGTGTTCAGAAGTGAATGGGCAAAGACCTTGCCCTTGAACCCGGGGGGAACGCACGCCGCCCGCGGCACGCACCGCCCGCCCAAACGGCGACTGGTCGCGCCTCTGCTCCGCGTCCCTCTGCCCGCGTGACACCGCCCCGTCCCGCACGCCCGAGCTGATCAATAGCCCACTTCCTATTTACACAGTTTCCTGCCGCACCAAACTCTACACAGTTTGCAAATTCTTTAATTAATTTGGAGACTTTCAAAGATACTTGGCTGACATAATTATGTTACTTTTCCTACTAAAGTTCATTCCAGAGTTAAAAACTTTTGTATTATTTTGTGGAAATGAGTTGTATGACATAAACGAGTAATTAAATAATAATTTCCATTCACTTACGATTGATTCGGTCCGAATTGTTTTATGTTGAATGCTTTGTATTGTTTCCCACGCGAGTCATTACTTTTTGCATTTATTATGAGTATAAAAAGTATATACTATTGCCGTTTTAGTATAGTTGGCTTTGTGTAAATATAGTGTGTCACGCAAACACGATAGGGTACATCCGAATGTTAATTGCTGTGTTTCTTGTAATGGTCACTAAGGGCTCGTGCAGATAAAACGACCGTAAACAATCTTAGATCTCTTGGCTATTCATTTTTATTAGTTAATGGTTACAGCATGCTCAAACAGCAATTATACACCAATGTCTTATCGACAAGCGATGATATGTGATTGACTTTGTCAATAAGTACTTTCTTCTTCGTAGAGGGCTTGTACTCTCCGGCAATAGCCGATCTGAGTTACATGTTTGTGTCCTGACCTGATCGAGCTTTTCTTTACATCCGATAATCTTTACGGCTAAGCAATATCCCTCTCCTTCCCATTTAGGTATTTTTTTTTTCTTTTCCTTTCAATATATTCCCAGTGACAAAAATTATAATTGGGGAAAACGGCATTTATTACACCCCTATAACCCTTCCGGGCATTTTTGTGTATGTATATATAGTACTATTTACGCATCGTCACCATTATCCTACGGTCATATTATTTTCATAACTGAGAAAACCAATGTTCAATCTATTGATTGAAGAATTAAAATTTTCAAACTGTATAATATAACCGTGAAATTAAAAAAAAAGATGATAAACTTCATTTCTTACAGTTAGCTTTCCTTTAACATCTAGTTAATATAACATAGGTAGCCGTAAGAGAATCCTTTCTTGAAATTATTTCTGAATAAGAGTTGTGTAGTGACTTCAACGTAGCACATGTGGTACGTAATATCACCGACTAGGTGCTTACTGCAGCTTAACGTACGGTACGTTTTTAATTGAGTTATTCAGTTTCGGAAAAGTCGACCCCAATGATCAGCCGCGTAGTAGACTAGAGATGAAACTGGATAACGACAGTACAATCCTATATGTGTATACCATAGTGAAATTTTAGGAGCAGATTAATCTCAAGCTACATTGCAATTAGCAGTCTTCAAAGTAACAGGGTAAAATCGGCAAACTACCAGCTAATAACCTAATATTTTTATATCAAAGTGAAGCATATCGCTTGGTCACATTTAAAAATCTTACTTTTAGAACCAACTTTTCATAATCATTAAATTTGGGTACAATAACAATTATTAGGTGTAGTAGTATTTTGTTTAGATCTAGTAGTCTGCATCAGCCCTTAAAAAGACTACCACCAAGTTAGTTTTATATAAAGTTGGGATCGATAGTTTGACTCGGACTCTCTGGACTATGACCGAGACATAAATGTGCACAATGAGGGCAAATGTATGAGCACTTAATTTAAATAAACTTTTCTTTGCGTCTCAGGCAGTTTACAAGCACTTGGCAAATAGGAACTGTACTTCATCAGCATCATCATCAACAGCCTTTAATAGTCCGCTGCTGGACATATGCTTCTCCTTAGAACTCTACTTAGAGCTAGTTATACTATCGTTTGTTCAGTGTAGTCGTTTAATCAATGCATGCACAACGCTGACGTTCATTGAATGTTGAGTCTGCAGTCGCATGGACACTGCGATTGAGTCGCGTGAACGCAACGCATGCGCGTGTTTATTGCGGTTTCATGCACGACTTTAATCAAATAGTACATCATTGTGATACTGTAGTTTGTACATAACTTGATACTATACTGCAACACTTCATTGAAATGGTTTATTTTTTTTGGTTTTTGTAGCTGTTTTCTTTTAATTAAACGAGTCAACAGTAAACTGAAAACACAAAGTTTCAGTATTAATCAAAGTGATCGGGCGACTGTCGAGAGACATGAATTCTACGTATCTGGAACCTCACAGAGGGTCACTCTTTAACATGTTAACAATATTGGAAGATATCATCATGCATTTCTTCGGTGTACTGAACTGCGAGCATCGAAGTGTCATTTTGCTACATACCGCAGTTGGATTTGAAATACAGCAGAAGGTAAAAGACACTGTCTTCATTACACGCTTTTTATTAGTTTCACCTGTATGTTTGTTTGTAACCGACTCCTTTGGGCGTGATTTTAACTGACTTTAAACGGTCAGAATTCGTTCAAACTTTGTAGATATATCGAGGACCGATGACAATACACTAATTTAAAATAAAAAAATAATAATATAAAAGAGAAAAAAAGATTGGTTTTTTATAAGAAGCGTGTTTTTTAGTTTTTTTAAACTATTTTTTTTTATATTGTGGTATTCATTGTCTATACTGGCACAATGGCAGCCATGTCTTTCAGTTGTACGACAGCTGATTACATGAGACTTTATCAATTCATTTTATTAAATTTATATAAATGATTTATACGTTTGTTTTCTCTGCTCGAATGACATATTCTGAAGGACTAAGCAATAGAATATGCCTAATTTAATCCTAAAAAAAATTTGGCGCAAATACTTTTTGCACTAGTAAAAAGACATAATAACAGTAGAACGGCTTGGCGGAGTCATCTCTTAAGAATAGATATCTAACCTGTTTGGGCTCAAGTTTTGGTTGGTCTCTTCGAATTTGAGTCATCCAAGTGGGGGTATATTGCCGTCTAATGAGACGTGGATGGATCACTATTTCAGGAAGCTCTTGAGACTCTGCTTCCTGAAATAGTGGTTATGCTAACTTTGCTAGTTTTAAGAATAAGGTAATTAGGGTGGTGCGTGGGTTTGAGTTGTACTATTACATTGTTGTGCAATGGAAGAGGTCTATGTCCAGCTGTGGACTCAATAGGCTGATGATGACGACGATGATGATTATACTTTTTAACCACAATAGCTTAATAAAATGAAATATATTAATTTTAGTAACGATTTAGAGTAGTCATAGCTTTGATCGTGTGAGTATTTATGAATGCCAGATAAGATTGAACCTAATGTGTAACCCTGAGTCATCTATCAGTTTTGTTATGTCTAGTGAATGAACCTTACATATTAGGCACAAAAAGTGTATATATTTCGAGGATACCCGACAAGTATTAGAACCGAAGGAGGCCTTTCATTAAGAAGTGAAGCATTATACGTCTTTTGCAGGTGCCAGACTGTTTACCTAGTCTTACCCACTAATTTATCCTGCGTAATGATGGCGGAGATGTAGGCACTACCTTAGCACTATGGAATACACTTTCTTTTTTCAAAAAGACAACTCCCGCAGTAGGAATATATCCTATGTCGCAGGGGACTTTAAAAACACACATGAAATGGACACAAAGAACACCAAGACGCTGAAAAACAATTTGTGGACCACACAAAGATTTGTGGATCAACATGTAGGGATCGAAACCACAACACTCAGTGCAGTAGGAAGCGATAATGTGATCGCTTAAACCGCTACGCCACCTATGCAAGTCAAGACAGACACTGAGAAAAATGCTTCGCTATTTATTGTTTAAAGTTTACCCATCTCTATTGTAGTCGCAGTCGTAAAACATACACGCACAAAAAATATGTCCTTAATTAACATGAATATCACTTATGAATGTTTTCATTTGAATATTACAAAAACGTGTGATCCTAAGCCCGAGGAAAGGAACATTTTTTAGTGTTCATAAATTAATTCGTAAAAAAAACGCTCTAATTTTTAAACAAGTCTTTAAATATTAATTGCGACTAGTATAATAAAAGACATTAATGAACACTTCAGTATCTTTTATATCAGTATGTTTACACTAAGTTATACTTTTAATTATATCAAATGAATACTATATTAGGTACCGTCACATAAACGGCAATAAATTACTTTGAAGTGAAATATTTAGTGGATCAGTTCTAATCGTGTTAAAGTAAGAAACTGGTATCACCTTGGCCGGTTTTCACATCTGGCATTTGTCGCTCTGATGGACAAATGGGGCGGTCAAGCTTGACCATTGTCGATTGTGACTGCGCAATCTTCTTGAGCATTGTTTGCAACTTAAATAGAGTTAGCGTTGCTTTTGGAAGTACACAATTTATTACCAAACGCCCCGGCAAATTCTGTAATAGGTATTTATAGGGAATATACAAAAGTAAGGATTTTTAAAACCGCTTGACAGGTAGGAACAGAGTTGAAAAAACATATGTAACGCCTGTCGCGGTGGTGATTTCCATTATGCGGAATGCTGGTATGTGGAAAACATTGGCAATAACAAAACAATTTACGAAGTATTTAGAAAACACATATATTTTGTGATTTACTGACTACTTATTCATTTATTAACCTTGAACTCAAAAGTCAAACCAGATTTTATGATTAATTAGTTCAATAGCACACCACTGAAGACAAAGCTTTTTTAACATGGCAACACACGAGATAAAGTCTGCAGGTATCGGTATAATCTGTATAAAAACAAGTTAAATGACCAATATGAAACGAGATGTAAAAAATTATGCATATTATATAAAAACATATGAAACATCTCCTAGGTGTCATTTATATCGTTATATTTGAGCCATAGGTATAAGAATGAAAATACACCCGGCTTCATGCCAAACCTTTTCGAAAAGAGAAAAAAAGCTCTTTTCAAAAAGGTGGGGTATATTTTCACATTGGTGTATATTATCTTCAAATTTAATAAAAAATAGAGTTGTAGTCTGTAAAACTATTGAAAATATTTATGAATTAAATACACATTTTGTTTTATTATGTAGTTATTTTACTTAGTTGAATTTTAAGAAAGTAAAAATTCTTTTCAAAATTAACTGAAAAGTACTTGAGTCAGTTTTACATAACTTTGATTTCAGTTTAAAACCGTTTCAAAATAATCATAAACATCAATTTACTGTAGTATTTGGTATAATAAATATTTATACGGTCAAAATAGATAGGTTAATGTATCATTATCACAACTACCTCCAAAGATTATTGACTTGTATATATTGTAATTATATTGTTGTTTTTACGCAAAGGCCATACAGTGAAACACTAAAGTAATCTGTATATTAAACATATGTGCTAAACAACGGCTATATTATATAAAAGAACTCTGAATCATATTAAGCTCACAATTCCTTGGCTCCATTTGTGTTTATTTTTTATTTCGGTCAACGGCCGTGCGCGGCCCCATTGTACCCGCTCCATTGACATCGATTTCTAGGGTTAGAGTGCATTTGAACCAAGTAAAACCCAGTAGACGATATTGTTATACAAATGTAACATATTTATAAGAGAGCAGACAGCTTCTATATTTAGCAGGATTAAATAATTTGCTATCAGATTGTTTTTCAACAAAGAATCGTAATATAAATTTGTTCCTTTATCAATTATTTCTGCCATAAAAATATTGATTCGAGTAGTTGATACAAACGGTAGCGGAGAACCGTAAACTTCAATTAATGTTACGGTTTAAAAACCATTACTATTTTAACACAAACGACTAAATTATTGCTCAGAGCGTGCAGATTTCAAAACCCACGCTCGAACTACTTGTTTTTCAAGGCTTTTTTTATTATGAATCGAGTCGCGCCGCGTACAATCAGATATTCCTGGCAGCCGATCAGTAAAAACTACACAGATATTTAATGAGAACTTTAACCTCGCCCTTGCAACGAATCGACACAACGTTTCATTATAATTATTTAAATATGTTATTAAAACTATTCCATTCCCATTAGCACAACCATTTTTTTTAAATTTTGATTTTAAAAGAGAAATTGATTACAGAATGTGTGGTTATAGTTAGAGTTATTTTTCAATCTTAAGGTTAGATACATGGTGGTGTTATTATGACTTCTTCGAGAAATATGTTTGGCTTCAACAGTGCTGTGTGATTCAATAGTTAACTGATAGTAAACGTATGAGTATCGCCGTAAAATTTGTCATAAAATTAAACATGTTCTGCTGAGTACACCGAATGACGTAATAAAAGATTACGTATCACAAATTACTTTACCCAAAGCAAAGATACTCAAGAGTAAATTCAACAACATCAATTTTATTAATCTTTTTCTCAACTTTGGAAAGACTATTTCTGGGTAGTCAGTAGTCTGGTAGGTAAGTAGCCTATAGGATATGCAGAACAACTCCACATAGAGCGATTTGCCGTAACCCCGTTCAACGTATTCATATCAATGCAAATACGTAATGTTATTTTTAAACAATGGCAGGTCATTACCAAAATTTAGTCTAACCATACATCATATTTATAGTTAGGTCACGGAGCAGTGTTTGGTCTAGGCGTTCGTTGGTATCGAGCGTGTGTTGACCGGGCGATTCACCTTGAAACCGCACCTCGCTTCGTATAACCCCACCACAGCGAAATACCACTGGTTGTTTAGACACGTGTAGCAGTCTATAGGCTACGCAAACTGGACGCGTACGACGTTTGGTACAATGGTCGAGACCGGTCCGCGTGCTGTGGGTGAGCGAGTTGTGGAATGCACAAGACGAACTAAGACGTCGAGATTTTAAAGTATGCTCTACGCTGCCATCAATTCGATAATACTTCCGATATTAGATTACTTTTAATTCTTGTAACAACTTGTATTATTATTAAGCGAGGCTCCAGAGCGTGAGGCTTTCTTTTATCCACTGTAGTTAATATTGTGCCGTTCAATTGTTTGGTAATTCAAACTGCCTGTAATCATACGCTGTGATCTTCATTTTGTACGATTATTTATTGTTTGTTGGTAATCAAATTATCATATTTCAAACACGATGTAAGTTGCATGCACAATTCGTGGTAAGAAAGAGGTTTCGTTTTTGTTAAAAAAGTAAATATTTTAATTAATCTGTCAACATTTTTTGTATTTAACTATAAAATCTTACATGTAGATCGATAAACTGTACGTTCCTACTAGCCTTATATATTTACAAGACAATTGTAGGTGTCACACTTAATCTTCCGGTGACTATTCTTTTTCAGTGCAATTCTAATTCAGAAAGAAATTGATGGTCCTCTATCTACCCAAACAAGGTTTATATATCAGATATTGTTTGTTAGAACAAGTACCAGTTACCTAGAAGCTAGTCATTCAATTATAATTCTAAACCAGCTCATTGAACCTAATTCTTTACGTAAACGTCGTTCTATGACGCAATCGACAGAGTAGATAAATTATTTAAGATTGTAGCAAGATATTCTTTCAATGAATTTCAAAGGAAAACCAAGATCTTAGTGTTAAAGTATTCTAATCACAGTATTTATAAAAACTGGGCTGATACTGGCGTACCTACGTTGTTTATGTCACATCTTAATTATTTTAGAAATGATTTAAGGGACACACATTTAAAAGGTTCACTGGGAATTGCATGGCGGTAATGTTTGACAACGTTGAAATATAAAAAAATAAAAACACCACATCAGTGACTAATACACGAGTATTACACGTGTAAAAAATAGAAATAAAAATTGGAAGTATTAGGTTTTAAACAAGATTTTTTTATCTGAATGTATAATTCATTGGATAGATATCATCATCAATTATCATTTAAAAAAATATAGCTTTAAAAAGGCTATAAATTTAATACGACGTGTGAGTTAAAAATTCGCACCAAACGGCCAATATGTTTGCTTGATGTCCAGTCGATGTAGAGCCCTGCCGCTAATATTATTTTCCTCTCAATCTTCTTTCATTGAGGTTCTTTAAGCGTCAGGGGAGGTCTTACATCACTGGCCAGTGCTTTAGTGATGTAGGCTTGCCCCAATTCCTGGTTGGCTGTGTCAGCGACGATGAACGTTGAATTAATGATTACACTAAATGTGAATGTGCTTTGTAAGTGTTATAGGTTCGTGTTATTGATACAGTTACTTAGCGCTAAGTTAAAGAAGTGATGAAGAAAGTAAAAGCTGCAAATAAATGTGTATAAAGTACGGCTCGGCCGGTTAGAGGAAGTTTCTGAACCAGTTTTCTAGTAATAATCAAGTTTTACAAGGCGTTAATTTATTAGTATTTTAGTCTTACGACGGCACTTCTAACAAAGTCTTGAATACGTATCTGAGTAGATTTATTTTTGGAATAATTCTTCATTCAATCTTATTTGTCATAATCAGTATGACTTTTTCAAGTGATCGTTATATGCTTATAAACTACACAATGAAATTATAAAACTTGATGTTTTATATTTCACAACGAAGTAAACGCAAGTAAATACCTACGTCAACGTTTGGCCTTTAAAGTGAGACCGATGTAGGAAACATTTTTATGTTGTAGTTTTTGTGTGAAATAAAGGCACACACTTAACGTTCTCAGTGAAGATTAAAAAAACTCTTCATCTCTCACATTAAAGTTATAAAACGATATTCTTACAATAGAAAACATGAACCAATCACGCAATCTATACCATAAAAAGTTTCAATGTATAATCCGTTCCTGGCTCGACAATGTGTTATGATTTCGACCATTAATATAAGTCGCGCGTCGGCGTCTTGAAGTCGACATTGTCACAGACTCTTACGCCCACGGCATAGAAGCTATAATCGGCTAACAAAAAAAAACGCCCACTCAGCTATGCCATGTAACTATTTGTTTTCATCGTTCTCACAACTCGGAAACCCTGATGTTTTAACGTGCCGCCCCAATTCACGAACTGAAATAAACGGGCTCTGGCCCAGATACAACGTGTGATACGAAATGCCCGATTAAATCCACGTTTCCTGGTCAACTCTACCGGAATGCATCGAAATACCTTTTTATTCCATTCCATTTAATCGATTGTCAGTACAGATAAATATATTATGTTAAAAGATAAGAGACCTTGAGTCTTTTAAACTTCGAAATATATTTCAGTAGGTACTTCAACAGTTGTTTTGTGACACAAAATGAGCGCACCTATCATAGGTATATTCCGCGACATGACTCGAATTCCCTGTTCTTCCCCGATACACGTGTCCACCATCCGTCCGTATGACAGAAGGCCCGTTATCGCTATACCGAAGTATAAATTTGTATAGTGTATCCGTCTCCGAATATTGGTTGTTGGTTGC